GGATTACAAGCGATTCGTTTACTGGTATTTCCAGATTAAGCACTGCATTGCCATCGGCTGATGGCATGAGTTGGACACGACTTCTCAATATAACAGTATTATAAATAGATATCTGAAGCAAACCCTCAAATTGAGTGTAATATATAGACTCATAATGAATAGTAGTATTTAAAAGCCATTTGTCGTTAGGTTGAGGGATAGTATTGACCACAATATCTCTAATAATTGCCGAATCTATGGACTGGATTTCAATATTCTTCCAAATGCCTTGTGTTGGAAAGGATGGCCCCTATAAAAGGTAATTTACAAAACATTATTCTGTTAATTAATAGACTTAATATTCAAACCCAATCCCAACTGAAAGAAGACTGCATTTTGCGGATATAGTTTGCGTGCAGTTCTCCTCTTTGCACAAAAGGAGACGATTCTAAATAAATCACAAAAATTGTGTCATTATTTTTATAGAAATGTAAAGAATATAATGATAACGACCGGGCGGTACAATGTAGTTGTCCCGTATGTATCGGTCGTGAATTCTTTGGGCATAAGTGACGGCCGATTCAAATGAAATGCGAATCATATTTTGTCCAATTCTTAAATGCGGTTTTATATCGAATTTGTACCGAACGAACATATTATCGGTGTTTCCAATGAACACATCATTTAAATATATGGCACTAATTGTGTCCAAACCATGACATATAAGATATACTCCTTTCTTGTCGATAATATTTTCGTCCACTTTTTTTTGGGTGTATTTCAATAAAATATTAGTTTTAAAAACTTTCTTTCATTAATTTTCTAACCATTGAATATTTTATCAAAAGTCCAGTTATCATAAGAAACCCATTTATAGTTGAAGTCATTACTGCCATAATAGGGATCCTCTTTCAAAACATTATTGCGGATGAGATCCGTAAATATAGAACCGGGAACTCTGGCCAACACTCGTATTGCTAGTAATTAGTGTATTAAACAATTAAAGTTTTAATTTTTATAACAATTTTAAACAAATTTTACATTTATTTTGATTCGTTGCGAACCAATCGTTTCCATTAAGTGATTGAGTGATCGATTGAATTGTGTTAAATGTAATGCAAAATATAAAAATAATAACCAATTTATTCATCATTTATGCAGTCATTCATCGATTCGTATGCAAAACCCAAATGTAAACGATCTCTTGTATCGCAATTGATGTTTAGTTTTCAGGTTATTTAAACAGACTTTCGACGGATATAAATATATATTGAAATTATATAATAATAGTTTCATATAATGACTTCGCTATAATAAAATTTTTATTTTTAGGTTATATTTTTTGACAACTTATTTGTTATAAAATATATTTTATTTTATTCAACAAATAGCAGCTGAGGGCAAGTTTTATTTCATTTTTAATATGTTTTTAAGTTTATAACAAATAAATATAAAATATGGACTATAAGTGAAAATTCAAGTTTGAGTATAAATAAACACAACTTATTACCAAATTGCTGATAAAATTGATTTCATTTAAGGATTTATAAATCATTTGCATTTGACATGAGATAAGGAAA